TCGATGGTTGTTAGTTTTTTTTCTCTCTAAAGATATTTCTGCATGAGATGTTACGAATTCAACGTTTCTAAATCCACTTAATTGGACTACTGAATTATCGAGTCCGCGTACGCCAAATAACATTAATGACCTTTATTTAACTCATTTGCACACCAAGTGTGCTGGCACTGATTATTACCCCACGCGACTTCATTCTGCCCCCCCCCAAACTTGCTCAACCAAAACACAATAAAAGCTAACCGACGTACTCTGTATATTTTATAACTCAAACACGATCACAACTTATTTAAAAAAACTAGATCATTTGTGATATAAAAACTGACTGATAAATATATAATTCATTAACTATAAAAGGGACATATCATCAGTCAATGATTATATAAAAACTTACAATTTGAGCAATATAAAAGTATCATAAAGAAAATATTTAATAATTACATAAAAATGTATATGATATTTTGCTGTAGAATAGTTCTGAAAATTCTAATCTTTTCGACTTATTCACATCTAACATGTGTGTCTCCGACAGAAAACGATACAAAATTAATTCATTCTTCAAATTGTTAAATGCATCATTATATTTTGCAACTCATAATTTACCAAGCTCAATTACTTCGTGTTCGGGATTAAGGCAAAAATAAATTGATTATTAATGTTGACTATTCGGTACTACGCGACTAGGTTACCCAAAATAAAGTATGTAGGTTCGCAATTTTCAGATATTTGAGTTGAAAATACGTCCCCCTAAAATTGTCTGCAAACTGACCTTCATTGTTTAACTTTTGAACATATGATGAATAATACGTTAAAAAGCGTATTTCTTATGTCATGCTAGATGTTTTTTTGCTAATCCAATCTCATCGAATCCATTGATATGGTTAACACTTGAGACTGCACATTTTTATCGACTGAGTTAGCCAGGACACTTATTTTCAGTTATCGCCTACCTCAACGGGCAATGTTAACTGGTGTAGGGGTTAAGCTAGAAGAAAACCATTCTGACAAACCAAAACATACCACTAGTCCATAGTCATTGACTGTTGTTTTGACTCATGTTGACAGGTGCAAACTATTTGATTCAAGTTCACTCATTAACTACGATCAGTGTTTGAAGACACTGGGTGACATAGCGTAGATGCACATACCTTTTTATCGTATAGATTTTGAGTCGCACTATTCCTTCATTCTGTCTTTTTTATACCACATTCTCGAAGTTTTCCCTTCATTATAATTGCAACTACGGTTATTTCGACTCCTTTACTATTCATCTTGTTAATTTCATCTCGTGCTAATATGGTGTAACAATTTGAGGTGACGTACATCTGTGCAAGATTCCATGTTGTTTATAACTGATTTCTGTTGGAGCACTTTCGCGAGGCTTAACATGTAATTCGGTCATCTTAGCTCTTAATTAGTAATCTACAGCTATCTTCTGACGATTATTCATATTTCACTACCTACTATTACTAAATAATTTCTATTTCAATGCAAACCAAATATCTATACTAAATTTAAAATTGTGTTCATAAACTACCTTACATCGAATCCAACTTCATATCTGAATAACTTCGAAAATCAATTAAGTAATCACACACATACACACTCAAACGGAATACAATTCTTGTTCGTTGTTGACATTAAAATGTACCAATGTATGTTTCATCCTTTTTGTATCAAGATATAACCGATAGTATATAGAATGGGGCTATCATTTTAAACAGTATTATTTATTAATTGAATACCTAATTGTGTATGAGTGCTCGACAATCCCACCAAAAAATGGAACACAATGATTTACTTCTATAAAAAATCTCTATCACATGATGTACTCTAATTTCTACATTTTTTCACTTTGATTGTAGTCCACAAAATTTAGTTACTGGTATGAATAAATTTTTACAATCACTTGATATAACATTTCGACGCGATCCAACCAATGCTAGACCAAGAATCAACAAGTTGAATTCGGTCAAAGATGTTGAACAGAAAAGGAGCGGCAATTATTTTTTTCTTGGAGATTAAATTTTCTTTGTTTATAGACCTGCCTACCTTCTCACTTTTTGCAAGTTTTTCAACAATGCCTGTTGGGTTTTGCTTTTTTGTCAGAAGTCTGTGTATATGGTTGGTGTAATATGTGTAATGATTTAATTTCTCTGACTAATCACTTGCCTATTTATTGACTGACTAGGTTATTAATATATGATACAATTGTTGGAACAAAGCTCTTTTCAACTCAAATCTTGTCTTGAGAAGGGCTCTTTTCGGAAATATTGAAGTGAGTCTTAGTTTGTTACATCAATTTTAGAACTATCAGTCAGTTAGTTAAATGGGAAGTGAAACCTGGCATATACGTTTATTAGTTCAAGTTACCACATCATATTAGATTATCGGGATGAAATAGTCAGCGCAAACCCCTGAGTATTAATAGTATTAGTAATAATAAGAAAGACTAAAGATATACCATGTGACTCCAAAAGAGTAAATTGTTGGAATAAAAAGTATAGGATCATTTCGGATCGAGGGGAATACAAAGTAAATGGGTCTGTACCATCATTACCAATTCTGAACTATGTTATCCGACGTTTTCAACCACTGTCAGAGATAATCGCCCAGACTCCAACCAGCTAGTTTGCACCTACACGGCTGAATCTAACAGTGAGTTCATGAGGTGGTGATACGCTTTGTTTTGGTTGCTTCGAACGTTCAGTTAACGTCGTCTATTGACGTGGTGTGTGAGAATACACAATACATGTCCAACCCACTTCATTCGATGAAGATTCACTACCTCATCAAACAAGTGTGAGATCTGAATTATTAAAACCATAGATCGAGATACCCCTATCATAATAGATTGTGACGAATCATGGATGCGTGGGGTAAGTATTCTCTTTAGTTTTATGAAATTAGTTAATTGACTCTTCCTTTTCATCAATATTTTTATTTAGAACAATATTGTTTTCGATTAGATCCTAGTCGAAAACAACATTGTTCGCTTATATATGTTCTAAATTTACAATACGGGAATATTCCAAATATTCTTATTGCCAATAAGTTCTCGAAATTATGTAAGATTCGTTTTGTTCATTAAGACTAAATTAGTTAAAAGAAATCTACATTTGTTTATCATCCAACCCCCAAAGTCTCTCAACTACATGTTATTATCTGCCGACATATCTAAACTGAAAGTTAAGACACTTTGGTAACTCAGTGGTAACTTTAACAGTAAATTCCTAAGTAATTGATTATTTGAAACGTGTTTTACTATATACGGATTAACAAATTGTAGACTTAATAAAAACGTACTACGAAAAGCATTGTGATAATCCCTCCATGGAGCTTAAAAAACAAAAGTTATAGACTATTAATAATAACCAAAGCACACTATTCAAGTGGATATACCTTTGATCATTACAACTTAGAACCATGTCAACCACATTATCTACTTGTGTTACTCACAGACGATTAATCTCAACCAGATTAATTGATATGGTGATTAAGACTAGGAGATACTACCAACAGGACTATATTAAGTAATTATTTCTAACATTTTCGTACAAAGGTATGGTAAAGCCATACAGATCGAGTCCTAATGCGATAGAGCGCAGTGATATCGTCAATATTGGTTATATACCACTCAAATGACCTTAAAATACAGGTGAGCACATAAGACATTAAAACAACTTACTGACCATATATTTCGGTAGCAATACTGATAATAATTACATGGTAATACATCCACAAGTATTTCAGAGTAAACATATCCTAGTTACTAATGGAATATGAGTTAATTTAATATTATTTTGTATAATGTGAACTGTACTCACACTTAGTAATAACGATTCTAGCAAAGCTCACAGCATTTTCACATACCATTTAATATCAAGTTACGGGAAAGAATTACAACTCCTAGCTTGCAGTTCAATAAGTTAGAGGTAAATATAATAAGCTGAGATATGATAATTAGTGACTATTAAGTGAACAAAGAGAAGCATGAGAGCAATAGATTATCGCATACAGAAATCATTATTCTTTATTAACATTTTGTAAGCCATGCAGTGATCTAAAACAGCGCGATAACTACCGTTAATGAATTAGCTCATAAGAATTTGTAACCGTTCTGTCATGTTCATAAAACACTTACCTAGTTATATTTATTTGCTTACAAGATGTCAGTTAACAAAAGAGTTGATCGAAAGAAACTAACAATCACATACTAATTAATACAAGTTCCTTATAAAACAAATTTCTCTACTGTCTAGTATCCTTTGGATATCATGCTTCACCCAAAACTCGAGAAGTCAAAATGAAGAGGGGACAACTTACATTTTGATTTATTTTTCTTTCAACACAAATATTGGTACAAGAGGGCACCAAATATATATGCGCCCCACCATATTTGTGTGTGTGTGATACTGCCCGGGTGCCCAGACCGAAGCAGGTGGTTTTCTTACGGAGTCACACCCCGAGCCTTTGACCTAAAGGTCTGATCCACAAGGCAGTGGAGCATCGTGAGGAGATGCATTCCCATGGTAGCTGGTGACCAACGGTTGGTTCATACGCCATTTGTCCCTGCAGGATACTGGAGCCCATATGCACCATTGGTTTTCGATCTGGTTAAAGCGCCGAACATTCGCTTTTCGTCTTCTGAATTTTGTAAACACCCCTACCACGAGAAGGCAGTGAGTAGGACCCATTTAAATCTTACTAACCCTCTAATACAGTTATAATTACTGAAAGACAAATATTGAGGGCATTGAGAATTTTTTTACATCGAAATGCTTCCATGAATATCAACCATGTATATTTTACTAATTAGTTGATGATTGGAAAAGTCACAGCAACCTGAAGTGTGATTCATTTACACACAATTATTAAAACAGATGATTTTTTAGTATACCATTACGAAATTTACCTAACAACGATCAATCATTCATTAGTAAGTAGACATCTACTTCAAACAGCCCAAAGGTTATTTGTTCGAATTCTGATGCAATTAAAATCCCCTTTCAACCTCGATCGTTATCACTACATATTTCAGATAGCCTGAGATTATATTTTGTGCACATAATTTTATATCAAACGATATGTAGCACTCAATACAATATTTCAGTACATTGATCGATGAACAAACGCATACATGTACATGGCAAGATTGGAATTCCAAGTATATTCTCAGGGATTCAAGTAATCAATTATTCAAATAAGCACATGATGGATAGCATTTAGATCCTATGATCAAAATGTGACAATCAATTGATGTTTCTCAGATAATTTGAATATGGATAAAACTTGATTTCAGGAGGCTATAACGAAACATACCTGAACAAATTGTTTGGTAATTTTTCAAACGCCTGTTAAGAACATCTAGAGAAATAAAATTTTCAGAGAAACATCGATATTGGGTAACAACTGACAAGACATGATTTTATCAAAATGAATAGTAGATTGTTAGTTACTTAGTTTGATTACTTGTTATGTTACTTTGAACTTATTAAATGTGACTCTAAATTGAGGTAATGCAATCACAGACACAAACGAAGTATACAGGATAAGTGAATTATTTAGTGAACCGAAAGTTAATATCCATGGTAGCTGAACAGCTATCAATGAAAGTACAATCGAGGTCAGAATTTTAAGTTTAGCACGTGGTGATACTTAATGCAGACACTATGATTTTCTTTTCGTGAGTTGTACACACAAGGTTAAGTACGACAGCTTCAGAAACCAACAAACAATATTCCTCCTGTTAAAAGACGTAACCATGGTTTACTTTTACGAACAATCTAACACCCGAAAACAGCTTCTAGGACCCTCTGTTCGAAATAGTTGGAGTTGGTGTAAAACCATTACCTACTGATCCGAAAGTATGCTCTCCATTGGACAATTAGAATAACGTTATTGATTAGTCTAAGGGTAGTGAAGAGAAGAGTACATCAAAACTCACTTTCACACACCTAAAATTTTTGTTACATATAATTCAATTTAGATTTATAAACATACAAACAACTTATACACATTTTATTGAAATTAGTCAAGTGGTATTATTAATCGTCACAGGATTCGACGAATATCACCTTATATCTTATATTAAAGTATAGATTTAACTGTGTCAAGTTTTACAACCACTTGATACGATGATATATATCTTACCTTTATAGGGTTGAAATTCACTGGTCACAGCTTCTCACTACAACTCTGGAAATCATTTACATGATCTGTTAACATTAGTGGCTGTGGAGGTTGTTGAATTTGTAGTTTTACATCACTTGCTTAAGCCTGCTACTCCTCGTGAAGGAGCATATGCCACCCACCACTGGTCTCCGTCCTGGGCAATCCTCCCCAGTTGCTATCTATTCTTTTGATATCTGCTTCTCATTCCTGACATGTGTTCCTTGGTCTTTCACTTTTCCCTTAAGGATTCTAAGTTAGCGCTTCCCTACAATCGCCTGGATTGATTATTTATTCTACTCTCTTGAAGCAACTTTCACATTCCTCACATACCGGTTTTATGATAAACGATAATTTTGAGATCTTGTTAAGAAAAATCACCCTTAACTGCTGAGTACCAGTTTCAACATATATGACATACCACAAAGCTTATCTGCTTTCTGAAGGTAAACATATATCATGATTTTTATTTATTTACCCCTATGCTCATTAAACGAAACCTGAAGTAAAATAAATCGGATTGATAGAGACTTTGAGAAGATATATGTTGCACTTGTTTTACATGACCTAATGTTTAGATAAGAAACAAACCCTTAAAATTAATTGATCATTGAGTGATCTATGTCGTATATGTTAAGTTATTCTTAGTGCCAACCGAATTCTATTGATCAAGTTGCAATGTTTCGCACCATTTGACACTTGTTAGCAGGGTGTATCTGTAATCTTGAGGGAACTGACCCACCCTGAGGAATTCGATTGTGTCACCCAGCTTCACAGACGTCACCACTGAGCTATTCGTGATGAGATATATTTACGATGGACTGATTATTGAACAGTGGCTAATGTCAACTCCATCCTGGTGCTAATCAAATTCTATCGATTAAACGGATTGTTTATTTCGCGGTCCAATAAAGAAACCGTTAAAAAACCTCTAACTTCTAATCTTTAACTGGTCTGTACCTTGATTGTAAAACAGCGCCTTTGAATTATGAATTCAATGAAATAAGTTGGAATTATATGCATTCATGTCATTGGTATATGCAAGTATTTTTGTGCACTTTAAAGAAACATAATGCACTGGTCAAAATAGAATAAAAGCTTGAAGAGCAAAAGATTTTGAAATATTAGTAGCATCAAGAGAAGTATTTGAAATAATGATTTAAATGAAATGAAATTATACGTTAATTTATTTAGACATTTCACTGTTTTTGAAGATCAGTGATGTATTAATCACTCTATACCTTTTGTCGGTGATATACACTGTTCTAATGAACTTCGCCAAAAGCTTTCCTAACATCAAAAAGAAAAATGGCAATACAGGCACTAACATACAGCTGAACTGTGTACAAGCCAGTGTATACAACATAATTACGAGTGAAATAGTGTAAGTTACAAAAAATACTTCACGTTGGACCAAAGAAAAAGAAACAAAATAAAAGATGAAGTGATCATGAAGAGATTATCAAAAATTTGTAATAGTTATTACAAAATTTACAAATTTGGAATTTTCTCCGCATATTTCCGTGTAAACTCTTCAGCATTTTTGAAGAATTTCTTTTGATCCTTAGCATATTCTTCAGCTAAATCTGAACGTAGAGCATGTTCAACTTCCGGTGCGTGAAGCATTGCAACAAGTGCTTGAATAACTGTAAATAAAGTGAACACCTAGTAAGTGTTCTCAAACATTTTTAAAGCGAATGTGATAAGACTGAAGATTTAAAGTGAATTTTAAAATCATTTTCCGAACCCAACAATTTAAAAATAAAATATATCAGACTTAAATCGGACACATTAATGACCTAGATTTTTGAGGTTTAATTTATTCCAAGTACATCTTTATGTGGTTAAGCCAAAATTCACGAGTACAGTGAAGCTACGAACAACAACTTCCTCAAATGAAAATGAAGCAATGTTTGAATATAACAGTCAAGTACCGATTAATTTACTGTGTAAACCTACACTTCATATGACCGTAACAGGACTCATAATTGACGAGTCTTAAAAATGATGATAACTTACTTTCTAATTTTAGCCAAAACATTACATAAATTTGACTCATCAGTCATATGTAGTTATTGCATGTACTAGATAATGCAGATAAAAAAACAACCTAGAGTGAAAAATAATACCTCCTTGATCAAATATTTAAGATTAAATATACAAAACAATGAGCTGTAGAGTAATGGTTGCGCTATACTCGAAAATGCATCTTACTTAGAAATACATTGAATAAGGTGCATGAATCTCAAGCTAGTATGAAGACTACTTAAAAGTGCATTTAGGTAACAGTTATGTGACAAGTCTAGAATGGAATAGTTACGTATTTTACACAGCCCATAATAAACATGAAAAATATCTGAACTATAAGGAGATAGATTAAACTTATTTGCAGAAAACAACGCAATGAAATATTGTGCATAAAAATACCTTACCATTTCTACACGAAACTGAATATTTCCTGAGCATTCACATACAATTATCAAAACTTACCGTGTTCTACTTTAGTAGCAGGTTTCCAGTTTTCCGGGTTAATTATTGGTAGGCATATTTGACCTTTCTCATCAATATTTGGATGATATATGCGTGTTTTAAATATCACCTTAGGAGGTTTGAAAGGATATTCAACAGGAAAAGTGATTTCAATTTTGAAAGCACCCTTATTATAGGGAGGTTCGTCCTAAATCACAATAAATATAAAAACATGATACCTTATTTATGTAAACATATTTTTCATTGTTTATTTTACGGACGATTCATTCCGGAGGCACTAGACTCTTATGTTATGTTTGTTAAGTGCAACGTGCAGGCTGGTAACGATTTTACATGGAGATTTTTCTAAATAACTTTGTCCCAACATCTGAAAAACCAATCCTAACACAATGAATGTTGGTTAGCTTAGCTATAATTCCACGCAAGTCATCGGTGTGACCAAGTGTATCAATACATAAAACTAATGAAAATATGTAGCTCTAACGATTATTATGTGTAGGATAATTGTCAGTACCACAAAGTAGACGTTTAATGATATATGTATGTATACGTCATTATAAGTAGTAGATGTATAACGCGTTAATATCCTACTCACTGCATTCTTGTGACGAGGGTGTTGTTTATTAAATTGAGAGGACGAAAAGCGAATGCTCAGCGTTTTAACCTGATTGATGGACACAGAGAGTTTACCTAGGGGAGTTGGAAAACCCTGATTCCAAACCAATGGTGCACATGAGCTCCAGTATCCTGAAGGAAGAAATGGCGTATGAACCAATCGCTGGTCACCGGTTACCATAGGACTGCATCTCTTTACGTTGCTCCACTGCCTTGTGGATAAGACCTTTAGGTCGAAGGCTCCGGGTCTAGCCCCCTAAGAAAACCGCCTGCTTCATTATGGGCACCCGGGCAGTATCACAGCCCACACACAAATCAAGTGAACTGTGTGGCGTATTGTATTCGGTGCTCTTTTGTACAAATATTTAAGTATTCAAATAATAATAAATGCCTAACACAAAAAATCTATGGTAAGACTTCATAGATTAGTTGCTGCTATATTGAGAATGAAATCACTTTATATTGCATACTTTCTTGGTAATGGGATGTGGTAAACTATTTGTCAAATGCATGTTTAGACGTAAAAATTACATTATAACTTTCTTCATCATACAAGTACGCATAATTTGCGAACAAACTGATAGCCTCAAATATGTTAACGTAATTGGCAGCTAAACACGCTTAACATAACAAGAAATGAGCAAATAGTGTGAATGTATTTTAAGTCTCCTGGAATAGCATTTACGCACACTTTAAACTAATGAAATTGGAATACAACAAATTCACCATCATTTGTTGCTAAAGGCAACTTAACTAATGTCATATTTATCTTAAATCGTGAAATTATTTACGTCGAAAACTATGCTTACCAAAACTATGAATCCGGTCCATGTTAGGAAGTTTGGTTCATCATATGTTACATTTCTAATCACATTTTTGATGCTTGAGTTGATAAGAGTTTCATATTCCTGTAACAACCCAAACAAACAGAATTTGGAAAAAAGAAAACGGAAGAACCTAATACTTTTTGAGTAACGATTATTGTATAAAGACTACAGACTGTCATTAAGAGTCAAATTTCCAATAACATCACATCTCTTGACTCTTTAATGTAGTTACTTGGTGATTCACTAAATAACTGGAAGGATTCTCACCCTGGCAAGAGAATGAGTAGACCTAACTCATCGCACCTCAGTGATCTTGAGTGCTGTTAGAAGTATGAGGGCGATTATCACACCACGGTCGCCCGTGCCGTAGAAGGGTTCTCTCAGAAATACCTGAAAAGAAAACTGGGTTAGAGGTGGTTTTAGTGACCTGAGAGCGTGACTGCAGTGCCCAAGGGACAACTGCTTGAAGCCGATCACACACGACCTTTTTGTGAGTAATTTTTTTGTTAGCTCCATACTTGTTGAGACCTTACTGCCGGAGACGGATATCCGTGGGATAAGGTGAGGTGTGCAGTTTTAGTGTCGATCTTTCCTAACCCCACTCCTCCTTGTGGTAAGGAGCATCGCTGTTATGCTGGTTGCCTGAAGGAAATATCCTACTTCCGTCGCACCTCTGTACAGTCAGCAGTACGAATTCGCACTCAGTCTTAGGTATGCTGTCTTTAGTCTTACCGTTCTTCAACCGACCTGTCTGGTATAGTATGACCTTGAGGAACGATTGTTCTAGCCAGCATAGCTCGGTTGGTTCATTACAATAGGCAAGCCCGACACTACGTCAAGGTAGCAGCACCGGTCGGGTTTATATCGTACCTTGCAAGCACTACAATTAGCCACTTGAATTTAATGTAATTTAGTAACCGAGTGGTGGATAAAGTGGGTTATAGGAAGGATAGGTGTACCTGGATCCATGTACAACAGAAAAACTACCGTCCGTCGATTTGGATCGTGCTGGCAAACTCAAGCTACCGGCCCGCATTCCTGGAGACAACCACCATTAGTGAACTTAGACACTGAGTGATAAGATTCAGAATTGAATAAGGTGGTGCAGATACACACAGAAATCAGTATTCCCAAGATCTTAAGTTTTAGTACATTAATGACAAACACATTGTGGTGCAATACTAACCAAACGATTTAAAGAAGTCTAGAATAATACCTAATTTACACCATAAAACAAAATTCCTTATATTTATGATGGAGATTAGTGACTACAGCGTTAGATAAGAAATCCAAATTTATAATTTTTACTCGTGAACAATGGATGCAAACAGTGTAAATGATTTTCAAGTGAATAATTAGCCGTGCGACTAGAAGATGAACGTCATTGAGTAGCTTGGAAAAGACACCATGAAAACACATAAATAGACACTAAGTGGTGAGTCGAACTAATGATGAAAGTAAGTAACACACCCACATCTAACCTTTTTTAACCTACGGACTGCAGCAGACATCAGCGCCGAAAAACTTAACGAAACCTAGCGCTGAATACAAACACATTAAAACGAGCATGATATCTGGTTTCTTATATATATTAGGCTTGTAAGGTATATCATCGATAAACCGAAAACAATGCCGTAACCCGAAGGTATGTGTGACTTCAAGAATTTATTAGTGGAACAATTATTTCCTAATTAACATTGTGGAGATATGACTGACAAGCTTATTTTGTAAATAGTTTTTAATATTATTTGTATTTGTTTGTCAATTTTTCACTGTATGTACATTCATCATTAAATGACTGTACGTGTTGTTTTAGTCAATGACCTTGAAGACACTTTCCGTTGAGCTACTACATAGCGTGACATATTCTTGCTGGTTAACAAATACATTACTACTCACGCATTCCTCGTTCTATTTTCATTTGTGATTGAGTTAACGGAAGTCTAAATCAAATACTATCTACATTTATAGACTGTAATCGGAATATATCACATCCTACGTTGGACTATATCGCTAGAGAGTTCGCCAACCTGCTCAGAGTCATCAAGCATTTATAATTGTGGATTTACATTACTGGACCTAATCAGAACACGCAACGTTTGGGCAATTTAAGTAACGTCCTTAATTTTTATTGTATTTGTAACAATTAATTGTATATATTAATATTACTATTAATTTTTAATAACTTTGTTTATACGTTTCGCGTTCATATCTGTCTGGTCCACCACAATTATTTGGTGAGCCTCAATTTTTGATGGACATCTATTATATATATATACATATTTTTATTTATTTATTATTATTAATTGGCACGACACATCATTTTTGTTTCTGACATTATGAACTCTCCTAATAAACTTATCAATATAGATAGCCCATCAACCAACCCCTTTCATTCATCACAGCCAGAAGATAATGCTTTAAACTCAATCAACACTATTTCTGAACTAAGATTACCAACATTTGGTGTCAACAGCCCTAGAATTTGGTTTGCTCAAGTTGAGGCACTATTTTTGGCGAGGGATATACGTTCGTAGGCGACTAAATATGCCCACGTCGTCGATGCACTACCTATAGAAATAGCAACGGAAGTTGGTGACCTTATTGACAACGTACCAGAAACTGACCCTTATGACAAGATAAAAGCTGCAGTAATCCAACGCACATCGCTGTCAGACGAAAAACGTTTACAACAACTGCTTACCTCGTTTGAGCTAGGGGATAAGAGACCTTCATAGTTACTCCGACTCATGCGACAGCTCGCCGGCCCTTACAAATTAGACGAGACGCTGCTTAAGCAAATGTGGTTACAAAGGTTACCACATAATGTTAGACGAATTCTCAGTATTTCAGGAACTTGTGTCACTCTTGACGATTTAGCTGATATGGCTGATAAGATGATGGAAATATATCCCGATAGTCGGGGAATTAACGCGGTACAACAATCTAGTAGAGACGCTATGAACCCTCCTCTTGACATTCAGCAACAAATGGCACACTTAACACAGCCATCACTGCAGGCGACTATCTCCACCATCCATTCTCGACGCCTCAGATCTACGTCCATAAGGAGATCAGTATCCAGACATCGTCTTAGGTCACCTAAGCGGGCAGCCGGAATTTGTTGGTGTCATTCGAATTATGGTGAGAAAGCACGTCGTTGCACAGAACCGTGCAACTTCACGACAAGCCAGCCAGACCATCAGGGAAACGAAGTGGCCAGACAGTAATAGCGGCAGCTGTTACTGGCCAACATGTCAGCCGCCTCTTCCACATCAGGGATCGTATTTCTGGCTCAGACTTCTTAGTCGATACTGGAGCAGAAATCAGCATCATCCCACTCCATCTCTCACGCAGACAACATACGACAAGCACTAAATTGTCCTTAGTAGCGGCTAATGAATCAATTATCAAAACGTACGGTGAGCAATCACTTATATTAGATCTCGGGCTCCGCAGAAGATTCACATGGGTATTCATAGTTGCTCAAGTCAAACGACCCATCCTCGGGGCCGATTTTCTTAGTGCGTACAACCTGTTAGTAGATATGACCAACAAGAGATTAATCGACGTGAACACACGTTTACAGGTAAATGGTACACTCTCCAACGACAACGAAATCCATGGTGTTCGAATAATGAAACCTGTGAACAACATCTTCAACGACATTCTAACAGAATACCAGTGCATTACGAAGTTAGATTACCAAAAGGAAGGTAACCCACAGCTGGTGCAACACCATATCACTACCACCGGACCACCTATTAGCGCCAGGGCGAGGAGACTACCACCAAGCAAGTTGCAAGTTGCTAAAAGAGAATTCGAACATATGATGTAACTTGGTATTATCAGACCATCCAACAGCCCATGGGCCTCGCCGTTACACATGGTACCAAAGAAAGACTAAGATTGGCGTCCGTGTGGTGACTATCGACGATTAAACAATCAAATCATTCCCGACAAGTACCCAATTCCGCATATACACGATTTTTCATTAAACCTACACAGTAAATGCTTTTTTTCGAAGCTCGACCTAGTGCGAGCATATCACCAAATTCCAATGGCACCAGAAGACATTGAGAAAACAGCCATAATAACACCTTTTGGTTTGTTTGAGTTTCTGAGGATGCCATTCGGATTGAAAAACGCTGCGCAGACATTCCAACGCTTCATGGATAACGTAACAAGAGGCCTTGATTTCGTGTTTGCCTACATCGACGATGTTCTGATTGCAAGCTCATCTTTAGAAGAGCATATCCAACATGTCCTATCCTTTTTGATGGTTTTAAAAAACATGGCGTCGTCATCAATCCTTCGAAATGCATATTCGCAGTCCCAGCTTTAGAGTTTTTGGGACATTACATCGGCTCACAAGGGATCAAACCACTTCAGACGAAAGTTGAAGATATTACTAACTACCCCGAACCGACCTCGGTGAAGTCATTACGACGCTTCCTCGGTATGTGTAATTTTTATCGCCGCTTCTTACCACGTTGTGCTGAAGTATTACAGCCATTAACCGATCTGCTAAAAGCCGACAAAAAAGGTACGAAGAGAGAGAAGAATCAAACATTCAACCTATCTCGTGATATCAAAACCGCGTTTGAAAAAGCAAAGTCGATGATAGCTAATGCAACCATGCTACAACATCTAAATACTGACCCCACAACCCACTTAATTCTGTGTACGGATGCATCTCAAAAACCCGTCGGGGCAGTATTACAACAACAGTTAAACAATATGACTACTCCCATAGCGTTTTTCTCCAAAAGACTATCACCAGTTCAGGAACGCTATAGTACTTTTGGACGGGAGTTACTTGCTATCTACTTAGCCGTTAAACACTTCAACTTCTTACTACAAGGACGAACTTTCACCATCATGACCGATCACAAACCTTTATGTTACTCATTCCACACATCGTACGACCGACATTCACCTCGCGAAGCACGACAACTGGATTACATCTCCCAGTTTACGACAGATATCCAATTTGTCAAAGGACACACCAACGTCGTCGCTGACGCATTGTCACGTAAGGACGTAAATACCCTGTTACGTAAACAAGACATCGATCTAGAAACAATCGCAAAACTACAAGTAGACGATGTAGATTTGAAGGTCTGCCAGGAGGTCTAACTTGAACCTTAAACCAGTACCCATCCCTTTCTCAAATACAACTATCATTTGCGATGTTTCAACGGGTAACAATCGCCCTTTCGTACCTCTAGCATGTCGTCGACAGGTATTTCGTCAACCCTTTCTCACCCAGGAATCAGAGCCACAATCAAATTGGTTACTGAGCGTTTTGTGTGGCCAAAAATCAATTCAGATATAAAACGATGGACGCGAAGCTGCCTACAATGTCAACGCAGCAAGATTCAGAAGCACACGATCAGTCCAGTTGGCAAGTAACCTCTGCCGGAAAAACGTTTTCAACATATCCACTTAGACATAGTTGGTTCATTGCCACCATCTAATTCATTCACGCACATTCTCACTGCGGTGGACAGGTTCACAAGATGGGCCACAGCATGCCCTATTGCTGATACTTCTGCAGAAACAGTAGCCGGGGTATTCCTTGACCGTTGGATAGCAAATTACGGAGTACCTTCTATCGTCACTACCGACCGTGGCCCTCAGTTTCAATCTATCTTATTTCAGGAATTCACAAGACTTCTGGGCGTAAACCACATCAAAACAACAGCCTATCACCCAGCAGCTAATGGTTTGGTCGAAAGATTTCACCGCCTATTAAAAAGCTGGCTGATGGCACAAGATGATACAACAAAATAGAGTGACGCATTACCACTCGTCCTTCTGGGAATACGTTCAACTATAAAGGAAGATATACGTTGTACAGCCGCTGAGCTAGTTTATGGTATTATTATTATTATTAGCTTTATTCAATATTATAATTTTGGTACAATATAGAATTCTCAGCGCAAAGTATTTCAACAAGTTTCCGTTTCTTTCTTCTTGGTCGGTCCTGGCGATAAATATTGAGGGATCGCCAGTTAGATGTTAGCACTTCAGTGAATGAACAACTGAATAATGTACATTCTTTTCGTTGTATATTGCCAGCAACCATATTGTCTCTTATTGAGTTTTCTGTAATTTTGACAACGAAAGGTTGTACACTTTTCAGAAACGCAGCAGAATAGGTTATGCGATTAATAAACATAATGATATATTAAAACAAACAACTATAGATAACTTGTTGAAATATCTAGATGGCAGGAACAGGTAGCCCAGATGCTCAAGCAGGCCGCCAATTGTGCAACCCTTACATTACCAGGTCAACTAATGGACCCAAACACTTTAACACCAACGGACTCAAGTCGTTTTGCTAGTCAACTGCTGCAGACCATGCAACAGATCAAAGCCATACCGCCTCGTGAACATAACAATCGAATACAACTCAACAGAAATCTAGAAACATGCAAGTTTGTCTTTGTTCGAGTTGATGCTGTTAAAAAGCCATTGAAACAACCTTATGAAGGACCATATC